AAAATATAAGCAATATAATATATGTATTTATAAGTAGATAATAAATATATAAGTAGATAGAATAATTGTATAACTAATTTAAATAGATATGATATATATTAATAGGTGTAGAGAGAATTGGACAAGATGAAGATAGAGATGATTAGAGAGTATTAGAAAGTAGAAAATAGGAGTACATATAGAAATTTTCTTGTACCCCCCCCCCCCCACCCCCACCCTTCCAACAGTTATAGAGCCGTTTGAAACTTTAAAAACGGCTAGGAGCAGCCCATTTTTTTAAATTAAAAAATAGCCGTTACTAGGGATGGGTTCGGGCCGGTTCGGGCCGCCGGTTCAAGAATAGTGGGCCCGGGACTGGCCCGAGGGTTGGACGGGTCCGGTTCGGGCCGGGCCACCCGCCCGGGTCACGGGTTGGGCCACCCCCCGGGCTGGCCGGTTAAATTTTTTTTTTTAATTTATATTTTATACTTTATAGTTTTATACAAGTATTAAAAAACAAACTTCAAGTGCATTTATTTCAAATGAAATAGGAACTACATTTGAAAATTAAATAGGAACTATAATTGTTTTTAATCGGAATCTCCGGCATAGGTAGAGCCACCCTCTGTTGTAGATTCATCCATAAAGTGTTGGGATGGAGTGATGTCAATTTCTTGAGCTCTACGTGCTGCTTTCAACCAATCGTGGTAGCATATAAGCATCTCAAGAGATTCAGCGCTCAACCTCGTTCTGGTTTGTGTTAGAACATTGCCGGCCGAACTAAATTCTTGTTCCACGGCAACCGTTGAAACCGGCATTGATAGCACTTGCTTAGCCATCTTTGCTAAAACCGGGAACATTCTTTCTTTTCCATTCCACCAGTTTAGTACGTCAAAATCATCATCTTCTTCAAAATCAACATCATAAGTTAAATACAAAGAAATCTCATTAATTGTGCTTTGTTGTGTAGCGGGAGATGATTTTGTTTTTTTAATAAGATTGGCAAACGTAGATTTGAAAATTGATTTTCCTTTAGATGATGTTTGTGTCGGGGGAGGGGGCGCATTGCCATATTTTGCATGAAACTCATTGAATAATGCATAAAATATATCACTAACCTCGTTGTATTCTTTTTTCGGATCAATTGGGTTGTCCTCATACATTGGCAATGGACCAAAAAAAGCAGCATAATAATAATTCAAACATTCTTCTAAAGAACCAAGTCTAAAACGAGGATCGAGAACAAATGCAATACCATAAATATGCGGAATATGTGAATAATATTTTAAAAACTTTTCCTTCATAAAACCAGCAAAATAACTCACATAATCAGCATTCTCAAAATTTGAAAAAGCACCGACGAGATTAACAGCTTCACGAATAAATTGGTTTGAGGTAGGTTTATAAACATGACTAAAAGTTTCAGTTGCATTATTAAAATATATCAAAGCATTACAAATTTTTTCACAGGTGTCGATCTCAGCCGAGTTTATAATATAGTTATCATATTGTTTCATAAAAGCAGGAAAATGTTGTTTATATCTAAGAAGAACTCCAATTAACTTATAGGTACTATTCCAACGAATAGACAAATCTTTTGGAAAAGCCACATATCCCTCACCTCTTTCTATCAAATAATCATGTCATTTTTTCCTAAGTTGTCCATTACCCCAAATACGTCTAATCCCCCCCTTGACTACCTCCAACGATGCTCCCAACGCTTTTAGACCATCTTGCACACATAAATTTAGAACATGACATGCACATCGTTGATGAAAAAAATCTACCCATCAAAGAAGTAGAACCACATAATTCACGCAATCTAGGAATAGCAGCAGTATTATTAGTAGCATTATCAAAACCAATAGCAAACACCTTATCAACTAAATTATACTCAATTAAAATACGTTCAATCAAAATATAAATATGTTCAGCGGTGTGACGATCATTAAATTCACGGAAAGCAAGAACACGTTTATGCATATGCCAATCATTATCAATATAATGTACAGTCAGACCCAAATAATGTAAATTATGATAAGTATCCTCCCATATGTCAGAACATACAGTAACACGTCCATCAAAGTTTGCAAAATAATTTTGTAACCTTACCTTTTCCGCACCAAAAAGCCTTGAAATTTCTTTCTTAACCGTTTTGCGACTATAACCTCTATATTGCGGATTTAAACAAGTTTGTGCATAATCACGAAAAGCAAGACTTTCAGAAAACAAATAAGGCAAATTTTCTTCAACAAGTAAGTTAGTCATACCTGTCAAATTTTGTGCATCATTGTATGAGAAATTACCAAAAGCTTGTTGGTTATTTGCAAACCTCGATATTTGCATTTGTTTCCCCGTTCCGCCGCCTAATTTTGCATACTCCACCGGGTGTTTGGACTTAAGGTGTCTTGTGGCGGATCCGTATCCGCCGGAAATCCCCAAGCTATAGTTTTTCTTGCACCAATTGCAAGTTGCGGTCCAATTCCCGGTGTTCGGGTCCTTCCACTTAGAAAAATTATTAGCCATTAATTCAGATTTACTTTTTTTTGTACCTGTTTGGGATGAGGCTGCTTGGTCGGCGTCATGGCTGCCGCCACCCTCCTCCTCCTCGTCGTCGTGGCTCTCCGGAATTGCTTCCTCCACATCGTCGTCCTCGTCCTCGAGCTCTTCTTCGTCAATGGTCCTCGGTTGGTCTTGAAAAAAGCGGGAATTATGTCGGTGCAATTCTTGTTCTAGTTGTTCGTCGGTCATCGCATCCTCATCCCTCCTTACGTAACCCGTATCAAAATCATCTTGACTTTGAGATGAAGAGCCGATATGTGATTTACCTTTGCGGGATCTCTTCCTCGCAAGCTCTTTCGTTCGGTTGCGCTCGAGGTTACCCATATCAACCGAATATCTAGGACGATCCATCTAAAAAATGTAGCGATTAATAAAAAATTGTAAAAAACTAATTAACTATTTATCTAACTATTAATTCGAGTTATAGCAAATTAAGTAGTGAATTAACTAGTTTTGTGTAAAACATATTTTTTAAACTAGAGTCAAATGTAGTAATTAATAAAAAATTGTAAAAAACTAATTAACTATTTATCTAACTATTAATTCGAGTTATAGCAAATTAAGTAGTGAATTAACTAGTTTTGTGTACAACATATTTTTTAAACTAGAGTCAAATGTAGCAATTAATAAAAAAATGTAAAAAACTAATTAACTATTTATCTAACTATTAATTCGAGTTATAGCAAATTAAGTAGTGAATTAACTAGTTTTGTGTACAACATATTTTTTAAACTAGAGTCAAATGTAGCCATTAATAAAAAATTGTAAAAAACTAATTAACTATTTATCTAACTATTAATTCGAGTTATAGCAAATTAAGTAGTGAATTAACTAGTTTTGTGTAAAACATATTTTTTAAACTGGAGTCAAATGTAGCAATTAATAAAAAATTGTAAAAAACTAATTAACTATTTATCTAACTATTAATTCGAGTTATAGCAAATTAAGTAGTGAATTAACTAGTTTTGTGTACAACATATTTTTTAAACTAGAGTCAAATGTAGCAATTAATAAAAAATTGTAAAAAACTAATTAACTATTTATCTAAATATTAAATCGAGTTATAGCAAATTAAGTAGTGAATTAACTAGTTTTGTGTACAACATATTTTTTAAACTAGAGTCAAATGTAGCCATTAATAAAAAATTGTAAAAAACTAATTAACTATTTATCTAACTATTAATTCGAGTTATAGCAAATTAAGTAGTGAATTAACTAGTTTTGTGTAAAACATATTTTTTAAACTAGAGTCAAATGTAGCAATTAATAAAAAATTGTAAAAAACTAATTAACTATTTATCTAACTATTAATTCGAGTTATAGCAAATTAAGTAGTGAATTAACTAGTTTTGTGTACAACATATTTTTTAAACTAGAGTCAAATGTAGCAATTAATAAAAAATTGTAAAAAACTAATTAACAATTTATCTAACTATTAAACAAGAGTCAAATGTAGCAAATTAACTAGTAATTAAACAAGTGTAAATAATAGAATAATTTCGTACCTCTTTCGGACTTTCGGTCTTTCGGATGGGAGTAATAGAATGACTTCAAATTAATTAGATATAATTCCAACTATATTAATAGATATAATAAATATATAAGTAATATATAATTAGATAACAAATATAAGTAATATAATACTATTTATATCTATTTATAGTTTATATAAGTAGATAATTAATATAAACTATAAATAATAAATATAATATATTGGAGAATGGAGAATAAGAGAATTAGAGAGTTAAGAATAGGATTTAGGAAGAATTGGAGAAGAGATGAAAAAATGTTTAAGATTAGGAGTATTTATAGGTTTTTTTACCCCCCACCCCCCCCCCCACCCCCACCAGCCAACCCCCCCGGACCCCCCCTTTACCCCACCCAACGGCTATTGAGCCGTTTGGGTTGTCCCCAACCCCACCCCCACCCCCAACGGCTAGTAGCCCAAACCAAAAAAACAAAAATTAAAATTAGACCCGGACCCGGGCCCGAGCCCGACCCGGGCGGGCCAGGTCACAATAATCCAGCACCGAGCCCGCCCCGCCCCTTCCCACCGGTTCGGGTCCATACCCGGTCCCGGACCGCCCGACCGGGCCGGTCCCGGACCGCCCGACCGGGCCGGTCCCGGACCGCCCGACCGGGCCGGTCCCGGGCCCGCACAGTACCGGGCCGGGCCGGGTCACGGGCCGGGTGGCCCGAACCGAATCCATCCCTAGCCGTTACCGGGCCGGATCGATCCCGGACCGGCCGGGCCGGTCGACCAATTCTCTGACCCGTAGCCCGCCCCCATACCCCCGGTTCGGACCTCATTGACCGGTACTGGCCGGCGGTTCGGTCGAACCGGGCCAGATCCATCCCTAGATACAAGTAGTTAGAATATTAAGTTATCTCAACAGCACAAACAAAACACTAAACATAGATAGTATTTTTTTGAAGAATTATAGATAGAAAGTTGATTCCTTCATAATTCTGTTCACATACTACCAGTCTACCACACTCCTTCATGTCAACCAAACGATTGAACAACCCAGTTTTCAGTAAAGGCAGGCATACACACAAAACGTGCAATAAGTTGCACTTATCAGATATTATTAGCCATATTTGTTATGTACATGAAATGCCAATATGAATTCTCATATGCCATCGAGCCCCTAAACCGTGTTCCTTTCAGTCAGAAATGAAGCATCTTTTGTCGTCAGCTCAACTGCTGAGTTCCGATCTGTCACTACTTCAGTGTGTGGAGGGGGGCATCATTGCATAATTGCATACAACAAACAAAAGTACTTCCCAGCCACTAAACAAATAAACTAAGCCAGTTTTCACTTTTTGATTTATTTTCTCACTTTTTCTTTTCTTTTCCAAAGAACAAATAAAGTTGAACGTTACAGACAAACAACTGTCCATGCCAATCGTTTGTGATGAATTTGAATATACAGCATATGTACATATGAATTACATGTAGAGAAACCGGGCGTTTGTTGCTCCGGCAAAAAAAATGGACTAAGCAAATGTCACATTTAGCAACCAATAGTCAGTAGCATTTTTGTCCTATTGGAAAGGGGTGAACATGAGATTCATATGCACTGGACAATGCTTTAAAAGATTCGGATAGTGGAGCATGACACCAGCAGATTCTCTGAAGTCATGCATCAACCTGAGGGAAGAAAAACATTAGCAATAAGTGGAGCCAGCACCAGATAGTGGTCAACAATGATAATAACTAGAACCATTCAGCACTACAAGCTTTAGTAAATATAAAAAAGAACAATTAAAGACAAATATATGGCTAAATTAAGAAAATGAACAAAAATCTGACCTTTAATATGCAGTGACCATATTATTTTTGCAGTGAATGTAGTGACAATGGTAAAATGCAATTTTATACTGCAGAGAGTAATATTTTTTTGCCCACAGTAATCATATGGGAAAAACGAAAAAACCCTTGTAATCAGCGCTTTACAAATTAACAAAGTAAAAGCATATCTACATTTGATCCACAAACCTTCTTCCGAGAAGTCAAAAATCCCACCAAGCATGTCAACACTTTCCACATCATCTTCACCCTTCTCCTTTCCACAAGGAGTATTACTGCTATCATTATGAGTGACCGCTTTTGTAAATTCACGGGATTCTTGGTTAGTTGAAGCCTTACAATAGCCTTCTCTGAAATACTGTGCAAAATCTACAGGGTCACTCATATCTTCATGATTTGGCCCCTCATCGTTGCTAATATTCATACTCCTATCGGAATGGTTAGAGCTTGTGTTTGAAGCTTCACTAGTAAAAGCACTGTTTGAAGATGGAACATCCCTAGCAGTAGTTCCTCCAGCAAAGAGGGACCCACTGTTGGGGGGAGATGGACTATTTACAATGTAAACTTCCTCCAAGGAAGATGTGATATTTGTGGATAGCTCAGGACTAGAGGATGTTTGGTTCAGCGTGAATGGGGCCAATGACCCTGATTCATTTGCTCCATCATTCTCATCCATTAGGTCAAGATGTGGATATGCCACCGGCATTGCACTCATTTTATCTACAACTGAAAGAAAAAGGGAAAAAGTATAAGCTTTTCTTATACAAATTGAGTTACTGGCATGTGACTTTTTCACCAAACCTTGAGCCAAGCAAAAAGTAATAAATTATACTGACTTACCAACATGTGCCTTTTTCAGCAAACACTGTGGAGCCACCGTTGCAATATCAGAACTAACTTCTGGTTTCTCTTTAGTTGTGGAAGAAGCATACGGTGAACCAGAAAATCTGCCATCAAAAGAAACCCTACACAATATAAAAATGTTCAGCATAACAGTTCAGAGAAAGATCATTTATATGAAATATATCATTTAAAAACATAGAGATCAATAATAGAATGCCAACACATAACAGAGATAGAAGTTAAGAAATCACATGGCCTTACATAGACTAAAAAAAGTTTGTCCTGTTAACTACTCAAACTCACAACTGCATCCATGAAAAATAAGCATGCCAAATCATGTTTTCCTTCAAATATCGAACTTCATTACCTCTTAAAAGTGAAATTACTACAGCCCAAGATAAAGCACAATGTCATTCTGAGACTAATTTCCTGTTAAAAATTTGGCCGGAGCCTATTAAGAAAACTGAATCCAATGATTCATTTCTCAATTAGAGAATAGGGAAAGCATAAATTTTCTCTGAATTGATGAGTAAAATTGGCTTCTTCAGTAATATTAATCATCTTGCGAGTTTATATCCACCTGATGAGGTGTTAGATAGAAGGAAAACCAAACGTTTTGTGAAACGTAAGTGGCCCAAGTGCTTACTTTTCAATATAAATCAAGAAAATGGTAACAACAATACGTGGACCAAGTGCAGGGTGTAAGGAACTTAGCTCGCCTTTAGCCAGATCTAATAATTGAACATTGTGAAAGGAAAAGGTACTGCAAAAGGTCTACCTAAATAGGATATACTATATCAGACATGATAGTAAAAAAAAAAAAGCAAAACTCAAATTCATAATTCTTCTGTCGAACCAAAGAAGTGAAAAAAAAGATTGTATAGGCACTCATTGGGAAGTGAGCTTGCAGGTCCAGATTACCTTTCATCATTCCAATTTGTGTGAACCCTCTGAAAATGGTCAAATACAGGTAGCAAATCCTTGCGCTTTATTTCGACTTCATTAACAGAAATATTCTCTATTTCAATCTCCCCGCCGGAACAAAGCTGATCGCTATAATCCTCTGCATTCCCTTGGAAACTCAATGTATAGAAGCATATCTAAAGCAAATGAAATGATCATTGGTATATAACTCTTTATAGTAAACCTTAAAGGTCTGTACAATGAAGGCTATAAGTGGTAGCTGTAGTTATCTACCTTGGACTTCTGCCAAATTGGTGTCCTCCAAGACCTTGACTGAACTTCGGCATTTGAAAGATACCAGTGAGACTGACCATGCGGCTTTGGTATATCCTTAACTCCAATGTCATCATCTTCACTGGCAGAATTATCTATGACAGTTTCCATGCACCCACGGTTAACGAGGGAGATTTCCTGAACGTACTCCTCTCTTTCAGGCCAGTCTGCCCTTCGACAAACATCCCACCATTGTACAGGATCAACTTTAACTCCCAGATCATCCTCTTGCATCTGCATTAAGTGGCCAGTACCACTTCTCAAAGAAGACTGACCCTGCTCTCTACCAAGAGAAGAAATCATTTCATATTGAATTAGATGTCCACTGGGAGTGAAGGCCAACAAATGTTCTAAAGTGTTCGGATTTTGGGGAGCATGCTGCACATCTCGGTGTATGCAACTATGAAAGACAGCTGCAACAACACCAGAAGGTACAGAAGTCCTTCCTGCTGCAGAAGATGCCACACTGCTTACTGAATTAAGCCAACCAGAGACATTTTTTATCCTGCTAACGACAGACAGTGTGATAGGTGTTGGTGGGGGGCAAGAAGAGTGTGCATTTGTTGAAAAGGAAGAAGCAGACCACCATGGCATAGAAAGTATAGGTGTTAGTGTTGTTCCATTAACATGAGTACTCTGTAGCTGAAGCCCTGTCTCACCACCAAAAGGGGATAGTACAAAAATATGGCATGTCCCCTTAGTTGAAATAATACCTACCCATTGACTAAAGTTACTAAAACAAATGTCCTGTATCACCTGTTAGAAAACCACATTGCGTTAGAGGATGAAAATGCCTAGAATATAAGTCAACAACAAAAACGTATTACAACATTAAGAGGCACAAAATACACACAGCTGGAGTCACGCCTCGATGGAGCTTGTAGAGGTGGACATGAGAAGAACTCCAATCACTGTTATGTGCACCTGATCCATTCTGAGAACCATTGGGCAATATCCGGTATATGTTTATATTGTTACCGTGTATGGAAGCAGTGACCAAGAGAGTGCCACTAGGGTCAAAACATAGAGCAGATATAGGGCTAGTATGCGCCCTAAATTGTGAAATTATAGTTCTGGATATGAAATCTTTAATGACAACCTGCAATAAACACATCAGATTAATAGTTCTTTTAGATCAGGGGTAACCACTGAACTCTACATTTTACTATTTTAGAAATGTAACACTTCAATCAAATTTATTACATATTAATGCGATATTAGTACTTCTTCAGATGAGGAACTAATTTGGACCTTTTCATTTTCAGGGTGAATTTAAAAAAGGAGAATCTGGGTGCCACAATCAAATAATGTATGGGGGCTAGTTAAATCAAGGCAATATGTCGTCAATCACAATGCTTGGCTACTACAACAAAGAAACAACCACTCTTCATAAGTCATAATTCAGGCTTCAATAGTTAATCTTGTGAAGGACTAGATTATGGGAAAATCAAATTTAATCTGTAACGGCAAAGATCATTTTTTAAGGCGCATCCCTTCCCAAGCAAGTTCCTCTGCATTGTGCAAGTTAACGGAGTTACACATCAGCTCACAAAAGGCAGAACCTGCTTAACCATTTTATTATTCTCAAAACGTATTGAAAATGTGTGGATTGCATTACTTGAATATGAAAAAGGGTGATCAGGGAAAAAACAAATGCCAGCAATATTAGCAGTAGACTATTTTGATACAACCAAAACTACCACCCCGGTAAAATCCCACCATGTAGAGTAATAGTGAAGTGCTTAAGTAAAAACAGATCTATTCCTATCTAACTAATCTAAAATTAAAGTTTATTTAATACAAAATAATTAGTGACTAGTGAGACTAACCATCCCAGCTGCATCGGTTTCATTTGAGTGAAGTGGACCCCTTCCGACATTCCAGGCAGTGCTTGATGATGCAGGTAAACTGGAGCCATCAGGAAGAAGCTCATGACAATACTTTGAAAAAGTCTTATAGCCCATGTCTCCAAGATTGATTAATCCAGAAGCAAGTTGTTTACTAGACTCCATGGCATATCTAGCTACCAGGTTTCCATTACCTGGAGATGTAGATGGGCTAACACCGGGAGAAGGGCTAAGACTTTGTGGACTTAATCGTCCTGTGTTTGCTATCATTGGGTTGTTTGATGAATAAGCTAACCACCTTGGACCTACAGCCATTGGACCATAGCCAATATTGACTCCAGTAAAACCCTGACCGCCAGGCTGAGGCACAGGATAGGTGAGCACACTAAATTTATTCTCCAGGGTGATGGCATCAAAGCAATATATCTACCAGCAAAAATATTAGAATGTTCAGTATAACAAAAACTTGATCACTACAAGAACACATGAAGACATTTAGGGTTAAGGTAGCAACAAGTCTAATGAATAGTTGTAGTTTAGAAGACTAATGGGTGTTCTTATGCTGGAAGAAATTCATTGTACCATTTGTATGTACCAAATAATTGATCATTCGAGTGGAAAATTAAAGATGTTCACCTGCGTCGCGAGGCCAACAGCAACTATATGCGGACTAGCTCTAACCATATAAACAGTAGACCTGAATCGCAAAATGTGAACATAATTGTGGGACCTTAGAGAATAAAATCTAAGGGTAGATGTAGTAGGCAAGTTCATATTGTTTCCTGCTTGAGGCTCCATAATGCCATCCCTCCCACTTTGTGCAGGAATGGACTGAGCTGCTTCACCACAAGCCACCACCAAGAGCATGGGATGTGAGTTTCTATATCCCTCATGGCCATCAGACTTTGCAGGAATGGGTTGCATCTGTAGAAATGTTACTGGATCATCGCGCTGAGAGACCAGTTCACATACATTAGAAGCATCTTCAACATCCAAGACTTGAAACCCATTGGAATAACCAATCAGCAGGATGTTTTTGAATGATGAGGGAGAGAATTCTAGTTTGTCAAAGCAAGCCCATAAAACCTGCTTGTCGATGTGCAAATCCGAGAGGATTGATGAGAACACAGCAACTTCAATGTTACAAACATAAAAAGCTATTATTCATTGAAGTCAAACACAATATAAAATCTAAACGATAAGAGTGTTGAATCCCATAGAAGGGACTCCACAGAGTAGAAAAGAGCTGCTATGATTGAATTTCTTTTTCTTCACAAACTTCCCGTAAAAAATTGACCGTCTTTTTTGACAAGATAGTAAACAATACATTTTCTTTTTCTCCTACATTGCTGGCATGCAATTGTATGGCTTCAATACTCCTTCCGTTATTCTCCTAGAAGTATAGAACCACACTTTTTTTATAGAAGAAGGCAGACAAAGAGAACACAAAACAGTGTCAGGATTCTAGAATCTATGTACGTGAGTATATAACTACACATTTTAAGCATTAAATGTCAACCAAATATCAGTGCTTTATAAACCGTGTGTATAGCGTGGATGAGGCAGATTGGTAGGATGAAGAGAGGAGCCAACCTCATCATGCATACAGTTGTACGTATCACTGTGCATGCCGTAGTTTAATGTAGAAGTTTATATAACATGATTACAAAACGGTATTAAGTACTTAAGAAAATAAAAATAATCATAATATAATACCATATTCATTAATACTCAAGAAACTGTATAGTCAAATCCAGAAACAAGTCAGATCAAGTCCTACCACCACCAAAACTGTGAACTCAAGCGGTCAAGCCTTACACAATCCTATCTCCATTCTTTTAGATGCATCAGTTTGACAATGCATGATTTTAATTTTTAACTATTGATACATTTAATAATCCATTGGGTAAACATTATAAAAGGACAAAATTTTGAATGTATACATTGAGACAAAATCCACATTTTACATAATACATTCGACAGTGAGTACTTGCCACTAAGGCTCCAGCTAAGAAGTACTTGACACTGAGCACGAGCGGAGGCAGTGAAGTGGTTAGTGCGCAGTCCCCACTCAATTTCAATTGAACACTTAAACAGCCATTTTAAAGAACAAATATTATGAAAAAGGCGATATTGTTGAAAGTGTGGTTTGGTGTTGGGAGATGAATAGCAAGAATATTGAAAGATAAGAGGTATGAAGATAAAGAACTACTTGCCCTTGGAAGACTAATGTTCCTTCCTGAACATGGCAAGTGACACAAGCACTAACTCCAAAACTATTGATGATCCTGTCAATAAATAGAACCCCTCTATTGATTCTTGTCCCAAGAGCCTTGGTGAGCAAGTATCTTGTTAACTTATTACAATGATACATGCAAAAATATTACCTAAAATAAAATATCAATACTAATAGGAAAACAATAATCCAAGGATCAGTCCATTAACATATCAGATACAATATCCGCCTCTGGGGGGTTCGAGTGTAATGTTGTATGGATAGGAGAAGAAATAAATAAATAAATAAGTTGTTGAATTAATTAAGAAGGATGTGAGGGGTCGAGTCCTTTAGTATATCCAAGTATGTGGAGAGTTGATTATTTTAGTATTTGCCATGAGGGTGGAGTATTTTATATAACCTAGGTATGCCTATGAGTGTATATATGTAACGCAACCATGAAGGAAGTGTGAGTCAAAGCATGAAAAATAAAATTATGAAATAACAACAAAACTCTTGCTATTCAACATGGGGGCAAAGGCTTTCTTGAGTTGGTGCGCGGAGGAGAGGCAGCCTGGAGAAAGATGGCTAGTTTTCTGTTATAGGGTTGATGACTCTTTTTTTAACTCCAAACTTGTTTCACTTTAGTATAACTGACTAACTGTACAACATAAGCCTCTATTAAGCCTAACTGAGTTATTGATATGGCAAGCCACTGTAGGATAGTGCGCAAAACCTAAGTATTGATCTCAATATGTTGAGTCACATTGCCAAATTCTAGGTATTGGTCTCGATATGTTGAGCCACATCGCCAGTTTCTAGGTATTGCTCTCAATATGTTGAGCCACATCGCTAATTTCTAGGTATTGCTCATTTGCTCTCTATATGTTGAGCCACATCGCCAATTTCTAGGTATTGCTCTCTATATGTTGAGCCACATCGCCAATTTCTAGGTATTGCTTCAATACTTAGCCTCAGAACACAATTTTGAACATTGCAATAGGTATAGGTCAAGGATTTCATAACAATATTTTACTTTCACACTTTCATATCATGCATGGAACGTGTGATAGATGATGAAAAAAATCAGTATAAGGGAGAAAGGATGTTACAACCTCAAAGGAAGAAATATGCTACTTAGATCTGACTTACAGTTAATGCACATGTAACTAATACTTGTCAAGGTATTGTGTTACAATAAAATACAGTTAGTGAGTGTAACAAGATGCTTTTCAGCAGTTCAAAACTAAAACAATACCACATGTTGAACAGTAAAATGAAGTTCCTAAGGTTCCTTTCGATCTCAAGTCATTTCATTTTCATTTTCATTTACCCCAGTGCCGCAAAGGCTCCCACCTACGGTGGGATAAGGGGGGGTCGGATGTAAGCAGTCTTACCCCTGTACCAAAGCACAGAGAGACTGTTTCCGGATGACCCAAAGTGAAAATCGCGTCCAAAATTGCATGGACTGACGGTTGCTTTATAACAAAAAAGGGATACAGTTTAGTGAGCCATTTTGCTTTATTCCTTTCAATCTCAAGTAAGATATCTTATTATCCAGAAGCATCTATCTACAATCTTATACTCCCTAAGTTATAACTACGACATGTACAAAGCTCAATGTTCCCAAACAATAGCTTTTGTTAACACAAATAAGCACTGAAATTCACTTAAAGTGAGTAGTAACCAAATACAGCCTGTCAGAAGGTTACAACCCTATGAAATATGAATGACGTCAATCCAGGAATCTGGAAATGAATGAGTGAATTGATATCATGATTTTCCGTACAAAAAAGGAGAAAGTGGGCACATCTATAAATGAATCCAGCACGTAAGCAAAAGCCTGGTAGAAATTAGGCAACAACCACTCAGGAAACTTTTATCATCAAAGAGATGAAGTGTTTAAGACCTGGTCCTTGCGATGATCATCCGAGTCGGTGGCAGCGGCGGTGATGGAACCGGCCACGGAAGCTCCCGCACATCGCACGTTAGACGACACAGTTTTGATGCAGGAGGATATGAACTTGAAAGAATTTGGAAGAAAGCCATTGGTAGCCCCATTCTTCACCTTATGATTCACGTTACTATTGATACTCTGGCTTTTCTTCATAATAAACTCGAAGAACAACCAAGGAATAAAACGCCTTGAGAGTTTAACCAGACGTTACCAATGGAAGTAACACAGATTGTATATCTGCTTCCTCCGCTACTGCTGATGTTGATGTCGGTGATGAATCGTCAGTGTAGCCTCCGTCGCCGGTCTCCGTCAGCCGCCGAGCGATGCTGCTGACGTGAGTTAACAATCAGATGATGAAGCATTAATCAACCGGAGAACACGCACGGGAAAGATGTAGATGACAACAGGAGATGGTTTTATGGTTGTGCGTTTGACCTTTTGAACTGGAAAACGCTTTCTCCCTCTTCTCTTCGCTTTTTCCCTTCCTCCAAACTGGTACTCCGTGTTACCTTCTCTTTCTCTCTCTTGAAAGATACACCAATGCCATGGGGTCCCACAACTGATTGAATAACAATTGTCTCCAAAATTTTCTTAAATTAATTCAACAACTATTTTTTGTGTGCACAAATTTTTTACATGCTTAGCATACATTTCTACATAATTGTATTGTTTGTCCATAGATAATTGATGCATAAACTATCTGTGTACAAATTTTAGGTGTGTGCAGACAATTATGTACATGGCACAATTGAAAAAATAATTGTTAGTTTTTGTGACTAAAAAGATCTTAAAAGTAAAAGGTGGTAGTTGTTTGGTAAAAAAACTGACTGTTTGATTTAGTTATCTTTGATATACAAGCTGTAGAGAGTAATTAATGTTAAAAGTCACAGACTTTTCTCATATGCTACTCCTTGTAGAATCTCAAAAAAGATCTTTCAATTTTTGAAAAAACTTAAAAATTATTATACCAAACATATAACTAGAAGCTTTTAGGGACTTTTTAAATAGTACAAAAACTAGAAGGCATACACGTATGTCTCCCAAACATAGCCTATGTATCTAGTGTGCATAAACTCTTGGTTCAAAAGGTGGAATCTCTCACCCCAGGAGCCCCCCACCCCAACCCGACAGGATGGTGGGGAGGTTAATCACGGTGACTCAGTCAGCAAAGCGGCGGGTAGACCTTATACACGTGCGCACCAGAGTTTCAGTCTTATTTCAGGTTCTGTAACCTCCACACGGCCGCTGCGGGTTTCGAACCTTGGTCACTTGGTCCAATTTTTCCACCACTCGACCAACTGAGCTACTCGTGCGGGTGTGTGCACAAACGCTATGTGCATGTTTGGCGGGCATAAGTCTATGTCTTCTAGTTTTTGTACTATTTTAAAAGTCTCTAAAAGCTTCTAGAGAAAAGTCTATACAGCGTTTCAAAAATTATATGTTTGGCATGACAAATTTTAAGAGCTTTTCAAAAAAAGATCTTTTTTGAGATGCTACGGGGAGTAGCATCTGAGAAAAGTCTGTGACTTTTAGTATTAAGTGGTCTTAACCGCGTGTATACCAAACAAAACTAAATCAAACAGACAACTTTTTAATAAACAGCTATCACGTTTTTCTTTTAGGATCTTTTGAGTCACTAAAAGGTATTCCCTCCGTCCCGAAAAGGTTGGCCAAATTTCCTTTTTTGGATGTCCCAAAAAGATTTGTCATTTCTATTTAAAGTAAGGAATATGCGACTAAAATTAATTCTCTCTTCTCTGCACAAATTTCAACCACACAGTTTTATCTTATTAATCTACGTGAAAGTCAACTTTGGTCAATCTTTTCGGAACGGAATGAGTAACAGTTACTAAAAAGCTTACAAAAGTACCTTTTCAGCTAGTTGTGCCAAACATGCCCTATGTATAGATAGAATCTTTCTTAATTGTTTTCATTCATATTTTCTTCAATCGTGTGTGTATGCACAAAGCTAGAAACGTTAATCACACAATTTTATTCATTTCTTTTATGTGTTGGTTAAAATTGATACGGAATAAAATTTAACTAATATTAAAAGGTCATGATAGTTTTGTCAATTTCACATTAAACATGTTCAAATAAAGTTCATGGAAGTAGGCTATGAAATCAGTGATTATTTATTTAGATTCTGGTGTGCTCGTGTAATCTCACTTCTTCTAAATAAAACTCATGTACAAATTATTCTTTTTACTGTTCTGAGAAACTTGAGTCTGAGATCCATTACATCATCCATTACTTAATGTGCATAGTTAAGTACAATGTATTAACTTATTAAACAACCCATGTGATCAAATATTTAGAGCTCGTTTGGTAGCACGAAAATCGGCTGATTTGGCTGATTTTGCTGAAATTTATGAAGTTCTGGCTGAAGTGACTGCATTGGCTGATTCTGCTGGTTTAAGAAAAAAATACTTTTAAAATATATTTTATTAATAAAATAAAGAAAAAATTATATGTAAAAATAGTTAAAATGGTCATCTACAGTAACTTCAGCCAATACAGCCAGAAAAGTAACTCCAACCTTACCTTTTCTGCTTATTACACAATTCAGCGCGCGAAAGCAAAAGTTACGTGTTTGGTGAAAAAGTTGACTGATAAGCCTGATAAGCCGATAAACAGTGTTACCAAACGGCCTCTTAATCAGTTTTGAGAATTTCGAGTCAAAAGCTGTTTTTTAATTTTTAACTTTCATAATTTCGAAAAAAAAATTAACTTTCATAAAACGTTTTTTCAAAAAAAACATAAGGTGAAAGTTGAAATAGCGGATTCAGTCAGCGATTTGACTAGTGGAATAATTTGACGGGTTACCAGAAGATGTTTGATAATTTAGCTGTTTGGCTATAAAAACTAGTAGAAAATGTCATATTTCAAAACGTTAACCCAAAACTCTCATATTTGTTGCATTTTCATTTCAATGCTTTCGCTCAAAAACGCTAGGGTCGTACAACTATTTACTAAACATTGTTTTAACTTTTTGAAAACGCTAAATAAAGTCAAACCACTATTATTTGACTGATACATAGGATTGAAGAAGTAAATGTAGATGAAAAGTGTGTCAAAACTATACTCTATATTAAATACTAGAAAATTGGTCGCGCGTTGCGCGAATGTTATATGCCCAATATGTACTTTGAATGTTGTATAATGCTTCATAATGTAAACAATTACTTGAATATATTGATAATAAAGATGATGCATCTTGCCAAAGACACAATTTTTATTTAATTAGAAGTAGATGTTTTATTTATTTAATTGAATATATAAAATGTATTGAATCTGCTCGCATGATCTGTATAAATTTCAATCTCTATGGTCTTGCCTTTTCATCTTTCTCTACCTGGGTCAGTGGTAAATCTATGCTTGCTTGTGTCACCCGAATGATGTTGAATTTCTTTTTCAATGTCGAAGTGTTTGTTTCGTTGGAGGTTCACGGGGCAAAGGACAAAAACATTGTTTTCTTCAAAGTACAACGCAAAACTCCGCAAAGACAATGCAAATATGAAATACCTCATCATGATAACAGTCGTAGTTTGATAGAAGTTGTACGTAGGGGATTCAACATGAGAGAATAGGTCAAGCGGAGAAAAAGAAATTCATAGTTGGTTTAATTGAATCTAAACAAGATAAATCACCATACTTGTTTCTAAACTTAGCATGCTACAATAAAATCATGAAAATATAGTTTATGTGTTTTAATGAATATTAGTGACAATGACATACTACATTGAGAAGATGGGAACAACATTTTAATTAAAACAAAACTGTCAATCGCTAACTTCTCGAGTTGATAATAATACCTAAATAAGCGGCTACTCGAGATGTAAACTATTTTTTTCCATAGTAATAATGTATGATAAACTCAAGGTAGTTATCATGTAATAAAACGTATTAGTTAGAATAAATAATATATTAGGGGGACGCACTACACTCAAAAAACTAAACATGAAATGTTGGAGAAAAAATAGGAAAATGCATAGTCAAAACAAACGAGTGCACAAAAATAACATATTCCACACAAGTTCACTAATTCTATTTTTAAGCTATTTTTATTCATCTCACTTACACTCTATACATCAGAGAAGATTAGTATCATTTCATTTCTATATGCATAAACAATTTAATGAGATGTTTGATTTTGAATTTAGATGGCGCACTTATAATGAAATAATGAGAACAATTCTAAGACTAAGTGGAAATCAATATGTAAGAAAAATAAACTGATATGTGTGTTAGCATGTGAGAGTAAGTACAATGAAATAAGCTTCACATACTATGAAACACCTATTGTGCATTTCATTTCTTTTCATATGAGCTTGTTCAGATCATTTAATCATACTCAAGATCACATTAATGAGCTTCATATTATTGCATTAGCTAGTCAATTTTAGATCATCTATCAATATTCGAGATAACATTTGTAGAACACAAGCATTACAATTTTTTTTAAAAAAACAGGAAATAGCCTCTAAGCAAAAATAGTTAAAATGCAACGTGAACTCATTAATAATTGGGAAGAGAATAAATCAAATTAGATATTGATTATCATGATTGTGAAAAGGGGATAAGGGAACTTTAAATCCCATTATGTATTTGAATAGGTGAAAAGTTAAAATCTCAATATAAAATTAAATTGATAAGAGACGGTACATCTTGTCCATTGTCGAACATAGATGTGGGTATCCTGTGATGATTTGGTTGGAAAATAAAAAATGGATTCAAACCAAGAAAACTACTCGACACGAGAGTTAAACGCTAAAAAATTAAAAGCTGTTGAAACTGAAGAGTCGATACAAAAATGATACTCCCTCCGTCCCAAAATGATAGTCTTGTATTTCCTTTTTGGGATGTCCCAAAATGATGATCATGTTTCCCTTTTTGGAAAGAAATATGTGGTTCATATCATTTCACTTTATTATACTCAAATCTCAACCACAACTTTTACCTTTTCAACCACTTTATTAAAACTTGTGCTCAAAAGAAATGAGACTATCAAATTGGGACGGAGGGAGTAACACATAGCGGATATACCGATTTCATATCGTATGTGGAGTAAGCATCCTTAAACACAAGTAACCATCGCCAAATGAATTTAACACCGTTAACGGTAAAATTGGATGGTGAGGTTGGCAATTTGAAAAATAGTTCATACGAGACAATATGATAACACACGGTACTACACTTTAAAGCCTAACCATGACAAACCATGAGCATTTAATACTAAAACTGACCTTTATAAGATAGGTTAAGATGAAACTGAAAATGCAAACAAATTAACTAGGAAGCATGTAGCTCTTGCACTTTTGTACAATCGTGAATCGTCTGTACACAGACGATTACTGATTTTTTATAAACGGGTGTTCTGTTTAAACTATAATTACTTAACAATTTTAATTATTTAATTTTGTGTTCAACTATTTCTTTTTTCAGAATTAATACGATGCTAATTGTTGCTTGTGATATAGAAATTTTATAATTTCAATATGTAGTGTGAAGTATTTAATTTCAAATATATTACCAAAATATGTATAGTTGTCAAAATGTAATTTAAGGGGGTGTTTGGATTTGATTTTTAAAACTGATTCTGCTCCTTGAGGGAGCAGAAGCAGAAGTTGTAGTGTTTGGGTAAAAGTGCAGAAGTGATTCTGGTGCTCTAATTTACTTCTAGAATAAGTTTTTTTAGAAGCTGGCGGTGACCAGTTTCTGAAAACTGATTCTGATTCTGTTTCTGCTTTAAAAAAGAAGCAGAATCAGAATCAGTTCCAAACACCTCCTAATACACCCTCTGGTCCTTAATTAACTTTACACTTTCCTTTTTGGGTCGTCCCATATTAAACTTTATACTTCTTTATTTGCCTTTTTTGGCAAACAAACAGAAAAAATTTCACTTTTGGTCCTATGACTATTATACCACTTCCACATTTAGTCTCTTACTTTCAGATTGTCCACATTTAGTCCGTGACTATTATCCCCTCACCACCTCTCGTCCTTCTGGCCAAAATTCCGTCAAATTTAGTCCACTTATCAGTCTCAGAATCAGTTTTTGCATTAACTTTTATATAAAGTTGGGTTTTTCATATCAGTCTTTGCATTAAATTTGGTTTTTCATACCTAAAATCTGCATTAAATTTGCCGGAATTTTGGTAGGAAGGACGAGGGGTGGTGAGGGGATAATGGTCACAGACTAAATATGGACAATCTGAAAGTAAGGGACTAAATGTGGAAGTGGTATAATAGTCACGGGACCAAAAGTGGATTTTTTTTCCAAACAAATATACACCAAACAGTGCAAAACAGTGTCAAACAGTTCCAAACAGTGTATTATACAGTAAAGTCAAATTTATTTCCTTAATATGTGTGAAATAAAAGTGTAAAGTTTAATGAGAACCGGAGGGAGTAACATTTACATAGTATAATTATGTACAAATGCTACATTTTACTGACTATAAAAGTTCATTTATAGTCACTATAATCACACTCTGATTCATAAATATTATTCTAGTTACGTTTTAGAAAAATCATCATTTTTTGACTAGGAAGTGAAGATATTTTCTTTTGGACCGTTTTCAGTCTCACACTAGACTAGACTAATAGACCAAACCAGACTTAAACAGATCAGACCATATTATACTAGGCCTAACAAATCAGACCATACCATACCATACCAGACTTGAACAATTATAAAATATATAAAGAAGAAATATTTACTAGAATAGACGAGACAAGTTCAAATGATATCAGACCAAACATGCAAAATGTAGTCTAAAAGAAAAAAAAAATCAAGCCTAACATTATGAATAACCAAAAAATAGGGTTAATGATTGAATACAAATTAGTAGAAGTAGAAGGAGGGCCCTAGTGTAGGGTAGGCTTGTTATTCCATAGTTTTTTTTATAGAAATACAAAAAAACGTCATTAATTTTCAAACATAAAGAAATTACAAAATAAAAACTGCTATAAACTTAAATACGAAGCCGACAAAATGGAATCGTGAAAAAATGGGTGGTTTTATGGGTTTACGTGACGACACGGCAAGCCTTTTGGCCGTTGAGATGCTTAAACAAAACATGGAATATGCGAAGAGTTTAATGCTTCCCCATTTTCCTTCCTATCCCAAAACTCATACGGAGTATTTGCACCGTTTCCTATTTCGGTGTTTCCTTCCAATAACGCTGGTGCTTAAAAAAAAATTATCGAAAATCATTTGACAATCCGTCAACTTATTTCGCTAGTCAAATCTATTGACTAATTTTTTTATTGACAATCCGCTGACATAATTCGTTATCTGCTAATCGTTAAATGTCAAATATGCCCTTAGTCTAGATTGATTTGAATTGATATGTATCTTTGTGGTCATATAAGAATATTTTCAAATTTGAGTTATGAACTTCCGGTCTCAATTCTTAACTTATTATATTCACATTAAAAGTCCGTTTGGTAACAATTCTTAACTGATTCTGGTGAAATTTATAAATTTTTTGTTGAAGTGACTTATTGGTTGATTCTATGATTTATTAAAAAAATATTTAGAATATATTTATTTAAAAAACTAAGAAAAAGTTATATAAAAAAAAAACGCTAAAACGGTCATCTACAATAACTTTAACCAATACAGCTAGAAAAGTAACTTCAACCTTACTTTTTCTTGTTATTACACAATTCAGCGCGCGAAATCGAAAATTACATGTTTGATTAAAAAGTTGACTGATAAGCCGAAAAAAGAGTCACCAAACGAGCTCTGAAACTAGTTTTATTACTACTATTACTATTTTTATTCAAAAAAAATTACAACCAACCATTAACCCGTTTTCTTAGAATAATTTCTCCTAAACGTAATCTCAAAAAATCAAACTTTTGAGCCTCATTTCCTTTCGTTGATCTCTAACCGCTTGATTACATGTTTCAACTTTTTTGCTTTTTCTTTGGAAAATAATAAACCTATAATCCAACTTTTACCGACCTTGTCTTTTTTAATAATAATAATAATAATAATAATAATAATATTTCCACCAGAACCGCACCTATCTGTCCTGGAGCTTTGTGTTTCTTGGAATATCTTTCCTCTTGCCCAAGGGCTTGTTAGAGGTGGTGCAGGGACGATACCTTAGAGGAATTTTGGATTTTCCACTAGTCTGCAGTGTGGCCAAGGGATCAGTGTGAGAGACTGAGAGTGTGAGACAAGCGCATGTTGAGTGCCTTATTTCTCAGGTGAGGGGAGTCCATATGGCAAGGCCGGGGGCCGGTGTGATTTGTATCCATTTTGTCTGCTGAGTGGTGGAGATAGTTGAGTTGGGTGCCACATGGGGGCCTTTGTGGTTGGGCTGAAGGTGTATGGAGCATCTACAAAAAGCGTGTACACGAAGCATTTTTTGTTTTTTTCGATTATTGGATTGGAGATGAAACTCCCACTTGCTACTGCTGCTCATTTGGTGGAAGGTGACAGACTGTTTTAAGGAGGAGCCTTGCAATAGTCTGGAGTGAAGAATTATCTCTTCCTCTAGACTTTACTACAGTAGGCCTATGATGCAATATTATCACCAGGTCACACTGGACTGGCGCAACAGAGAGAATCCGAGCTTTGTTATGGTTGTCAAGAACAGAATTCTTACCAATTATCAATGACAGAGTATATCAGTCCTCTTGATATGGATTGCTATACACTGAACTGTGATAGATGGTTTAGGCCATTCGGAATAAGGCAAGAAAATGGGTTCATGGTTACATATTACTCATTGGGAGGACTGATAGCCATACAGCAGAACTTTAGGGCCGTCAGGTGGGGGCTTATCTTAGCACATGAACTGGACCTTCAAAGAGTTATTGTGGAAATGGCCTCATAAGGCATGCTGATATCGATTAAAAGCCGCCATGGGATTGGCAAAATCAATATTGGGGTGCTCATATGGGACTATTAAAAGCTGCTTAAGGGTGGACTGTTTGTCCGTGTCCAACACGGGTTGCACACCGCATCCGACTTGTCGAAACAGATTTTGTAGGAAGGTGCTAATAGCTTAGAAAGTCTTAATAACACATATTTCAGATCCATCCCTAATAACACATTTCAGTTTCAATGATAATTCTGTGAGGGACAAGTAATTTATGCATGCTTAAATGGTAACGATCATTTGATGTATAAAAAAGTTAGAAAACAACTATTCAAAAACATATGTCCTATGTAACTAGGAGCATATTTACATATGCCATCAACTCTAAAGTATCATGTGCATCATTGTTCATTAAAGAGGCTCTAATTACTTATCTTCCCTGCAACTTCTCAAAGTTCGTACGAAACCATGTTGGCCGGCGTGCGAAATAAAAGAAAATCAGTCACGAGTCAAGTACAAGTTGTGCATGTTTTTTGAGATCATTCAAGTACTTTGTCAAGTTATACTCCTCGGCGTCAAAGAGTTCTTCTGAGTAGGTTCTTCGGAGTGTGTGTTTTTTGTTTTCTTTGGAACTACTTCTATTGAGATCTTTGCCTCTCAGCAGTATTACAACCTGTATACAGAAGAGGACAATAACCAACACTATATATATATATATATATATACATAGCTCACTTCTACGATCCACACAAATTCTGATGGCCTTCTAGGTTTACAGCATGGTTAATTTCCCAGAGATTCTTTCTTTTCATTTTTATAAAAAAGAAATATTTTGGCGATGCTTATGTCAGTAAAGCAACCTTTCAAAAGTTGTTATCCATAAAAATGTGTTTTCAACTATTCAAGAATAGGGAATGAATTAACTAACACAGAGAACTTCTCTCTTGGATCAAATCACGAATTTAAGACACTAAAAACGTCCTAAACTATTTAGCAACCTGAACTTCATGACTTCATCTACCCTAACAAGTATTATTTCATGATATAGAAACTACTTTTGATCCATATTTTACAATATATATTTGAAACATTAGATTACTGTAATTTATATTAGTATTTGTGCATTATAATGGGCAAACATTTATAGAAGACTGTGAAAGTCAATCTGGACTTTCATTTTGGGATGGAGGTAGTAATTTTTACACGTTTCTCCAAACATTTTGTAACATATTTTTGTGTTGCATGCACCATTCACATACATATTGGGCCAAGCGATGCATGTTTAAGCTTGCCATCTGTTGGGTAAATCCATTTCAAGTTCTGTAGAGTTGCAAAATAAAGACTTGCCTGACTCATCCGGGGTCGCAAAACGGGGTTCTGTTGTATACACAAAGATGCAGTCAAAACCACTCGACCCATCTGCTGTTTATCATAGCCATTACAAAGAGCAGGATCCACAAGTCCCTCAACATCATCACTATCAAGGAAAGGCTTTGCCTAAAATTGGATCCACACAAAGTAGTGCAAGTATAAAACTCAGATTGAATTAATACTACTTTTGTCCCACAAAGATTTGCCATGTTCTATTATTTTGGTCGAATTTTTTAAACTTTTACAACTAAAATATTTTTAGGGATAAAGTAACACATATATCCTTGAACTATACGACAAATAATATATATACCCCTTATCTTTTTTGGAACAGTTAAACACAAACATTGTAAAATTGAGACAACTATATACCCTTGAGGTATAAGAGAAGGCACACCCCTAGAGACTTTAATTATTGGACAAAAAGGTATAAATGTTCTCTAATATATAATTCAAACTTTTTGCAAGTTCAAAACATTTGTGAGATTTTGTGTTTAAATGCTCCACAGGGAAATTGGCGGGTATATGTATTCTCCCCGAAATATAGTTCAAGGGCATATGTGTACTTTCTCGCTATATTTTATACAAATGATCATAATATATAAAAGTAATATAAACATTTTCATGTGTATAATGCTGTCAGATGTTAAAAAAATCACATAAATATATATATATATATATATTGATAAAAAACATTAGTCAAAGTTAAACAAGTTTAACAAAAAAATCCAAGAATACTTTTGTGGGAAAGAGGTAGCAAAGAAAAGGTGGCTTAAAAAGATTTGGACAAGCTTATATACCCAAAGCACAATACTTTTTTGTGAATCATCGACTGCTGGCCGTCCTGTTATAATCTCCAAAAGCAGCACTCCAAAAGAAAAGACATCTGTTTTCTCATCCACCATGCCATGCATAAAGTATTCAGGGGCAAAATAGCTATCAATGATAGGAAAAGATTAATTTAGGACTTTCAACTCTTAAAAAGTGGGCAATATCAAGATTTAAAGTGCTTCTATACCCAAATGTGCCTTCAAAATTCGATACATTGTGATGGGTCCATTCCTTGGGAAGCCATTTTGCTAGGCCAAAATCACATATCTGCATTAATATTCAGCATTGTCGTTTATATCATAGTTTCAGGATTGTTAATGTCAGTTCAGTATTTAGTGTTATAGTGTATGTTGCAATTTGCAAATGTTGCAAGCAATATCAGAGGGTATTTTGACACATTATAGCTTTTTCCTACATTAAATTCAAAATTATATATTTCATTGATACTCTTCAACACTGGATTGTTGAAATACCATCAAAAGATATATAAACAGACCCGCAGAGATTCAAATTGACTGGCTTCCCACTTTTCCCCACCCAGGAACCATTACGTCTGTTTGGAAACCCCAAAAATAGGGAAAACAACCACCAGTAACTAAGGAGTATATAAGAAATATGGAAAGAGAAAATGTGGGGGTGGGAGGGACAAAGCACTTATATGTATGGAATGTGTTTTGATCCTACTTTTTCTCACTTGGTTTCAATTATTACTCGTATAGAGTCATATTTAAGTTTACTAGTCATATATTAGGAATATATGAATGTTTTAGTAACATTTAGGTAAATTTCCCTTCTTTTTAATAGTCATTTCCACACTAAGAACATGTAAAGGTATATGTTTCATCAAGAATCAGCAAATCCATTTCGTTAAATATTACTATATCAGCATCAATGACCTCAAGGCAAAAAAGAGACATTTATTTTCTGGGGTTAAGATTGAAAGATACCTCTGGCACAAAATCCTCTGTAAGTAGGATATTATCAGCTTTGATGTCTCTATGAATGATCCGTCTTCGGCAATTCTCATGAAGATAAAGCAGGCCATCTGATATCCCTAGAATGATTTTGTGTCTATTCTCCCAATGCAGTGTTTCCTTTGGACCTGAGATGAGCATATAAACACTCAACATCCTCTTTTAATAAGAAAATATAACACTATTTGTGCAATAAAAGATGCTTGTGAGAGCATAAACTAAAGAAACATTTTTTAGACATACCTTCAAGAAGTGACCTTAGACTCCCTTTTGATGATAACTTAAGGACAATATAAGTTCCCCCCTCAACTCCATACCCAATCATCTTTGCAGTATTAGGATGATCAACATGTGCTATGGTTCCAATTTCCGACAAAAAGTTTCCTTCTTGGTCTTCTAACGACCCTTTGTTCATGCGCTTAACTGCTATGAGCTGGCCATCTGGCAAGCATCCCTTGAATACTTCAGCATACCCTCCCTTACCAATCAAGTTTTCTATCAAAATAAAGATTTTAATTAAATCTACAAGTAAATAATCTCCATCTTTGCCTCCACGGAGTAGACACAATAATTAAAAAAAAACTGTTTATACAACATTTGTTTTTCCACGCCTACAAGATTTTGTTTGTGCAGTTTCATATTTTTGAGAACAAAAAAAGAACAAAAAATTATTTTCACACAATCTGTTCTCGTAGACATAAACTATTTTGTTTGTGTGAACATAACTTGTTGTGCACTTGTACAAATTGGTGGTGCCTGGCATGATCCAAAGAAGCAAACTTTTTTTTGAGAAAAACATTCAATTTAAAATATAAGCCATGATGAGTCCATGACATTTAGCAAAAGACATATAGAAATAAATTGCAACCTTTACTGAAATGGTTGGTTGCTGTCTTCAGTTCAAGCAAGGAGAAAATTTTCAAGGAAGGTTTTATGGGGCACAAGTTCACGTCTACATTTTCTCTCATGCTTTTGAACTTTCTTCTCGACATCCTTGTTGCAAAAGGTGGGAAGGAAGGTAGCCGCTTAATGGAATTTTTTTTCCACAACTTGAAAATTTTATGCCACCTTGACCGTATCCGTGAATTTGATGAATGGACTACACATTGAGATTCACTACTTCTTTCATGAGATTCAACATGCTTGTTTCCTCTGAACCTTATGCAAGCCTCAATAATCCCCCTTGGAGAGGACTCATCATCCTCCTCATTTTCAACTTCAAAGCATCTCAACTCTATATCAACATCATCATTAAAAGAAAATGGCAGGGTTTAGCTGCAGCTTGGGTTTCCATCTAAAAAATAAACTCAATATGAGGATTAATCCTAGACCTAATATATGAGGTAATATCTTTAAATTCAGTTGGTGAATGATATCTTAACAGTTGACACTACTATAATGATTGTGCTGCAAAGGCACACATAACTCATACTACCTTGGGCAGAAGCGGAGGATGATAGTGTGCGGCAATTTTTGCTTCTAGCTTCCACCGCCAGGTTTTTGCTTGATTTGGTGCATTTTCCTTCACTCATTTTCCTACAGCAAAGATACAATTACATTGTGTAATTGTTTAAAAACAAAGGGGGAAGTATGTGTATACAAGGCTTTCATTCAAGTTTTCAAAATCAAATTGACTGGATTAAATGGGTTGAGATTAAGTATGAGGTTACCAAGCTAGCATCTTTGGATTTTAGAAAGGAGCAATTTAACTCTTTAAAGAGAAGTATAAAAGAAGGGAAATTACCCTAAATAGGACTAAAAATGTTTGTATATTCCAAAATAGGACTATCATGTTTTTATTCTCAAAAGATAACTAATTACTGCCATGTTTTGGCAGTGACAGACTTTAAACATAACATTATTTTTCAAACTTGACCGTAATTACTCTTATTTTGGGAATAAAAAAACATGACAGTCAAATTTTAGAATTTTGCCTTTTTTACTCCTATTTCAAGAATTTCCCCCAAAGAAAATCGGAAATAAAAAGTGGAGAGATATTACTTATGCAAATGTTACTTATGCAAGGAGTAATTACAATAATTAACTAAAACCCAATCTGTTCACACCATTAAAATCTGCGCAGAGCACACAGTGGATTTTAACACAACAAAAAAGACTTATTCATATAGAATCACATGCCACATTTTTTTATATAAATAATACATAATCTCCCTGAGTTCTTATATGTTTTGGAATTATAATGAACCCTTCATTTCACAGAAGCATTTTATATCTAAAGCTAACTTCTTGCACAATATCCATAAAACATTTACTCGAATTTAATCACAAAACAAAGAACATAAACGCGGAAATAGCCAATTTTTTACATGTCTCAAACACAAATCCAGAGAGGGAGAGGAAAGCTCACAGAGGAAGAGAAGGCAACTGGTGAGCGGCCATTAGAAGAGCTCCAAGACGCTCCTCGAAGAAAGAATGGAGACAAAAGATCAAAACTTTAATCACAGCCTGATTCTTACCATCCTTACCCACGATTCAGAATCACCCAATTCTTTATCGATTTCATTCATTCAGTTTAGGGCCCAACGGTTATCCATAAGCCCACCCACCGACCTGCAACACCCCTGCCCAGGAAGAGGAAAGAAAAAAAATAATACGAAGGGTAGGAGTGAAATAGTTGGAGGAAGATGAGAGAGACGGACGGTGGAGTAATACAGTGCTGGAATCTTGGTTTTTTGTCATTCTCCATGATTCACTCCCTGCCTTAAATATACCCCGCTAAACCGAGGAAACTCCTTATCTCCTTCACGTTCTTGGACCTCTCCCAATTAGTGACCGCCTCAATCTTGGAGTTATCAACTGAAATGCCCGAGCCCGATACCACATGACCGAGAAAACCGATCTCCCCAAGCCAAAATTCACATTTAGAGAATTTGGCAAAGAGTTGCTTCTCCCGCAGTGTTTCAAGCACAAGCCTTAGATGTTTTTCGTGTTCCTCTTCATTCATGGAGTATATCAAAATGTCATCAATGAACACTATGACGAACTGGTCTAAGTATTGGTGAAATACTCGGTTCATGAGGTCCATGAATGCCGCGGGGGCGTTCGTAAGCCCAAACGACATTACTAGAAACTCATAGTGACCATACCGCGTACGGAATGCACTTTTGGGTATGTCACTCTCCTTGATCTTCAGTTGATGGTAGCCTGACCTCAAGTCAATCTTAGAGAACACCGTTGCCCCCCGTAGTTGATCAAACAAGTCATCGATCCTTGGCAAAGGATATTTGTTCTTTATTGTGACCTTGTTCAACTGACGGTAATCGATACACATTCTGAGTGTACCATCCTTCTTCTTTACAAATAGTACCGGTGCTCCCCATGGTGCATGACTCGGCCTGATGAATCCGCTGTCCAGCAATTCTTCCAATTGCACCTTCAATTCTTGAAGTTCAGCCGGTGCCATCCGATATGGAGGAATCGAGATGGGTTTTGTACCGGGTTCTACCTCAATGGTGAACTCAATTTCTCGATCTGGTGGGAGTCCCGGGAGTTCTTCAGGGAAAACTTCTGGGTACTCACTCACCACTCTCACCTCAGTGAGACTCTTCTCCTTGCCCTCCTTGCCTATGACATAGGCCAAGTATGTTTGACACCCTTTCCTCATCATACGTCTTGCTCTTATGGCCGATATGATACAAGGGTTGAATTTCCCTCTATCTCCCTCGAAGCATAGAGTGTTTCCTTCTCCATCCTTTAGTTCTAACACCTTGGTGTAGCAATCTACCTTCGCATGGTGTTTTTCGAGCCAATCCATGCCAAGTATAGCATCAAACTCGAGCATATCTAACGGCACAAGGTCACCCGTTAGACAGTGCCCCCCTATCCCTACGTTACACGAGGGATAGTAGTGTTTCCGCTCTACATCATCTCCCAATGGCGTAGAGACCAGCAAAGGTTGCATCATTGCTACCAAAGGCATGTTCAATCCCTTGGCAAACGCTTCGCTCACAAACGAACGTTGTGCCCCGGTATCGATGAGGATTCTCGCATCCCTATCGTTGATCTTTAGTGTTCCTACATATATAAGTCATGTAAGACACCCTATTCGTCATCCCGACAGAAAAGGACCGGACGAAAAAATTTCAACCTAGAATTACCCTATACCCGGTCGGGTAGGGTCTTCTACCCGGTCGGGTATCACTCGAATTCTTAAAGGGAAACCCCCCTGTCTTCCTTGCTCGGTCGAGTACCAGCCTCGAATTCGGGCAAAATGTCAATACCCGGTCGGGTATATACCTATACCCGGTCGGGTATCACTCAAAATCCACAAATAAAAGCTCCCTGGTTTGGCCCCTTGCCCTCCTGGACCTTTGTTCCTTTTCGCCGGTGGTGCCGGCGCCCTGAATGAACTGCCACCCCCAGCATGATGCTTCCGGGAGTGGTCTTGGGGTCCAGCGTTTCCCCATCTTCTTTTCTTCGCCTCCTCGGCGTCTCTCAACTTCCTCTCGTTCCATTGGGCTTCCCCAAGGAGCCCCTGATCAACGATTTGGCTAAATGTCATACTGTGATGGTAAGTAGCCCGGTCACGGATGTCCAACTGTAGAGCATCCCAAAAGTGATTGGCCATACGATTTTCATCCAATGAGTATTCTGGGATGAATCGTGCCAAGTCACGGAACCTTTGTTCCAATTGCCTCACCGAGCAACCATCCTCCTGTTTCAGGTTCGTGTACTCTCTTCTTTTGAGATTGACTTCAAAAGTTGAGTAGTACTGATTATAGAACTCCACTTCGAATTTCTCCCAAGCGGCTTCACCGTGGAATTTTCCCTCCACGCCTTCCCACCATACAGCGGCTACCCCTTCTAGTAACCTGGTGGCAACCCTCAACTTCACGTCGAGTGAAATTTGCATGTCCCTAGAAGCATCATTCAGCTTCTTAATCCAGTCGGCGGCCTCAGATATGTCGCCCTTGCCATCAAATGATTTGCACCCCAAGGCCCTGGCCTCCTTGAGGTACTTGGAGATACGCACCATCGTGTCTCCTCCAAATGCCCCCGATGGAGCACTAGAAGCACCTCGGCTTCCTTGCCCCATGGTCTGCCTAGCCTGTCTAGCTTGGCGCTGCTGTTCTCTCTTTGCCTTATTCTCGAGGTACCATTCTAGTACCTCACTCATACGGTCATAATGAGGATCATCATCCTCATCTTCTTCCTCAAAGTCCTCCCCGTTGTACGGGGTCTCCTCTTGCTCCGTGCTTGGAGCATAGGTGAAGTCGTCCGGTTCGGTGGCCCATGACGGGTGCACGGAACCGACGCGTGTGCTACTTGTCGTCGGCGTGGTAGAACGCCCACGACCCCTGCCTCGTCCCCCTCCTCGGCTTTGGCCCCGGCCTCTACCCCTAGAGGTCCGTGATTCCGCCCGAGTGGCATGCCCGGTGGCCCCCTGCACATGCCCTGTCGGGTTCCTCCTAGTTATCCTGCGTCCACCCTCCATTTCTGAAAGAAATAAGGAATGAGTCATTAGACTCGTTTCAATGTCAATTGACGGATTAGTACAAAAGACACCCCTTGGTCCAACATTATGACCAACAAACTGTTAAGGGTACCGTCTTAACAATAAGAGGTCAATAACTTGGTTTCCAACGGTTCCTTAAGTACAAAAACTGTTGCTCATGGTTTTATTCAAAACTTTTTGAGGATAACCATATTGAGAGGTTAATTATATAGTTTAGAAATCGATGGCTCTGATACCACTTAATTGTCACGCCCCGGACCGCATCCGAGCCACGTAGACAACCGCCGTACAACCCGATAAGAACAACAACAGTTCATCCCTATTGAGTTGTACAAGGCGTCCGATTTATTCTATTGCCAAACCGATTAGTAAACACATACAATCAACATCAATATCATAAACAATCAAATGCGGAAAATAATAAAATGTTTGATACTTAGCCACACGTGGCAAACACGGGCACGCAGGCCCCCAACTGTTTTAATGAAAATATTGTTCAAAAATCCATGAGCGGTTTATACATTTGAAATAAGAATGGAAGCACGAACCACGTCTTCCTTCTCGATCAGTCACCCTAGGCAAAGGTGCAGGTAGTAGGACTCTAGCCTCAACCTGAAAAATGTGAGGGCCCCCGGAGGGGTCAGTACTCCATAGAAGTACTAGTGACAAGCAGGCTATATGAAGAATAACTAATGTTTCAGACACGAGACCCAAAAATAGGGTGATATATACATATAGATGTCCCTCATCCACCCGATGATACATACTGTATATATACTCGTAAAATACTCAACCCGTAGGTCATTTACCTTAAAGAGTCTTTTAGAGATAAAGTTCTTGCCTGACTTTTCTCACTCCTTTCCCGGTTACCTAGCTCACAAGCTATAGTCTACCTTCGATTCATACTACCGAGTGTTTTAGGATCATTTACCGTCCAAGGCACTCAACCCATCCTGGAGTATTTAAGATCATTTACCGTCCAAGGGTACTCGGCCCCACCTGGAGTATTCTGGATCATTTACCGTCCAAGGGTACTCGACCCCACCTGGAGTATTCTGGATCATTTACCGTCCAAGGGTACTCGACCCCACCTGGAGTATTCTGGATCATTTACCGTCCAAGGGTACTCGACCCCACCTGGAGTATTCTGGATCATTTACCGTCCAAGGGCACTCAATCCCCAGTCTATTCTCTACCAAATCCTAACCTGGATATGGCTAACCTTTCATTCCTTTAACTATGGACAATTCCTAGCCCTATAGTCATATAACAATCCTTAGGATCCAACGTGGGCGGGTCCCACCCGAACGGCCCACATTAACCCGCTCAAAACTGCCCGTTTTGAGCATAACCCAATACTCGATCGAGTATTAACCCATACTCGGTCGAGTACAGGAGACAGTAGTCCACAAAGCTGATTTTCAACAAATACCCGGTCGGGTATGTGTCAATACCCGATCGGGTATGGCAGTTGACTTGGCGGTCAACGCCCCTTTTGACCCCCCAAACGGAGTCCGATTAACTTGAAATTTTATACACATATACTTCTGGATGTCCTTGATCCAAAAATACCATTTTGGATCCCTGGATCATCACACAAAATATGTTATCACATTTTTAATCACCAAACCTACATAACATGCTTTTTAACTATGTTTTGTGTATAATCATAGCATAAACACACACTTGGTTATCTTTAATCATCCCACAAAACATATTCCTGATTACTTTAGGTAATCTCATGCCTCACGCAAAAGTTATAAAGCATAAAGCCGTCTTCTCACCTTAATGAAGCTTATGAAGTTCTAGCCTCCCCGATTTAGCTCCGACGAAACTCCGGCGAACTTCAACGAACTCCGGCGACAACTCCGGCGACCTTTTTAACTCCGTGAAAGTTCCTCGAATACCTTAGACAAGTTACTAACAAGTTTTTATCATCATAAAACCCATAGTAATACAAATAACCTCCAAAAGGTTATTTTCCGGCGAACCGGTCACTTTGGCTTCTAAGTCCGTTCTTGGGCTTAGAACCACCTTCCAACCCCTCTTTCTACACATCTAAAAGTGTAGAACAATACTAGGGGTCCTTCATGTGATATATTGGTCATATGGTATATAAGAAGTTAAGGAAAAGTTGTTACAAGGTTATTACCTTGATTCTTCACACTTTCCCTAGCTTTTCCTTTCTTTAATCCTCCTTGGACTTCCTTTTCTTCCTTCTTGAGCTTGGTTCGAATGGAAATGGGGAAAATGAATATTTGCAGAGCTTCTCTCTCAATATTGATTAGGTTGGTCGGACATATGGGCTAAGGGGGGAGGGATATGGCTCTATTTTGGCTTATACCTCAATGATAGCCAAAATATGGCCCTACCTTGTCCTTTTTGATGTCAAAACCCCCAAGTCAGCCCTTCCCTGCAAAAACCCTGCCCATTTGGACGCCCAAACCCATGCCTTGTCTCATATAATTTCGTGGGGTGGCCCCCACTCATGTGGGAGGTCATCCCTTTAAATCCCGACGTGTACGATCGGTCCCGAAAGTTGTATTTTCCGGACTGTTTTAAGTATATTTTATTTTATCGGGTCAAATAAAATATAACACTTGTTCCCAATCCTCATTGGACCTTAGAATCAATATGCATTCCCCAACTTTAATTTAGAAGTCTCCGGGATCCCTTTTTGGGCTGTTATCCGATAATTTGCCGATACCGATAATCTGGCCCCATTTGACCAACCGGTCATCTCTATGCCATTACCAGGCCCAATTAGGATATCCATCACCATATACATATTATCTAGTCCAAGATTAATATACTATGTGGTCCCGATAATATCGGGCGGCCCCACATCCGGTGTGGACCCCACGTGAATTTTACTATTCACGTAATAGAAATGATAAAAATTTACAATCACGTAAAAAATGCTTTTATACATTTCTCAAGGTTCAATACATAATTTGGTACAGTACAAATACTCGGGGGCGGTGTTACAAGTTCTACCCCCCTTATTTGGGATTTCGTCCCCGAAATCCATGTGTCTAATCAAACAGAAATGGATATTGTTCCCTCATTAGGGTCTCCACTTCCCACGTTTGCTCCTCGACACGATCACTCTTCCAAAGTACCTTTACCATCGGCACCTCTTTGCTCCTTAGCTTCTTTACCTGTCGGTCTATGATCTTTACCGGCTGTACCGTATAATGTAGGTCCTCTCGGATTTCTACCGGTGGTTTCTCAAGAATATGTGACGGGTCCCGCACATACTTCTTGAGCATAGAAACATGAAATACATTATGAATCTTTTCTAACTCTGGAGTCAACTGAAGTCGGTAAGCTACAACCCCAATCCTTTCAAGGATTTTGAACGGGCCTATGTAACGTGGGTTAAGCTTACCCCGACTGAGGAACCTGATGATCCCTTTCCAAGGGGATACCCTCAGAAATACCTCGTCACCAACCTCAAACTCCAACGTCCTTCAACGTTTATCAGCATAGCTCTTCTGTCGGTCTTGGGCAGCCTTGAGCCTATCCTGTATGACCTTTATCTTCTCCTTAGTGATCTCGACTAACTCGGTGCCCTCAAGCTTAGCCTCGCCGACCTCGTCCCAACACAATGGTGTCCTGCATTTCCTCCCATACAATGCTTTGTATGGGGGCATGCCTATACTTGCCTGATAACTGTTGTTATAGGCGAATTCTACTAAAGCCAACTGATTGTCCCAGCTCCCCTGGAACTCCAAGGCACATGCTCTTAACATGTCCTCCAAGATCTGAATCACCCGTTCAGATTGCCCATCCGTTTGAGGATGAAACGCGGTGCTAAACCTCAATTTCGTACCCATGGATTCCTGGAACTTAGGCCAAAACCGTGATGTGAACCGTGGGTCCCTATCCGATATTATAGTAACCGGAACCCCATGCAGTCTCACAATCTCATCTGTGTACAATTTGGCCAACCGCTCGAGCGTATAAGTAGTGTTGATAGGTAGGAAATGAGCGCTCTTGGTCAGCCTATCGACTACCACCCATACCGCGTCGTAGTTCCTAACCGTCCGTGGTAGACCCACCACGAAGTCCATGGTAACATGCTCCCACTTCCATTCTGGAATGGTAAGTGGTTGTAGTAACCCTGCCGGGTGTTGGTGCTCTGCCTTAACCTGTTGACAAGTAAGGCAACGGCTCACGTATTCTGCAATTTCTCTCTTCATCCCCGACCACCAGTAGCTTTCCTTCAAGTCCCGGTACATCTTTGTACCGCCCGGGTGCATGGCATACGCAGATGAGTGAGCCTCCTCAAGGATAGATTTTCGGAGCTCCTCATCCGATGGTACACACACTCGTTCCTTGAATAGTAGAAGTCCATCTTCCCTCTCACGGAAACCCTCGACGGGCCCCTCAAGCATCCGTTCCCGGATTTTCTGAAATTCCTCGTCATTGCCTTGACGTGTTCTGATTTCATCTAGTAAGGTGGGTCTCACCTCAAATCTGGCCAATAGCGCCCCATCCGTGGATACCTCCACGCGTGCCCTCAGTGCCCGTAAGCATGTGAGTAAAACCCCTGATGATGAGCTCTTCCTGCTCAGTGCATCAGCTACAACATTAGCCTTGCCTGGATGATAGTCAATGATCAAGTTGTAATCCTTAATCAACTCCATCCATCTCCTCTGCCTCATGTTCAACTCTTTCTGAGTGAACACATACTTCAAGCTCTTGTGGTCGGTGTAAATGTGACACAACTCCCCGTAGAGGTAGTGCCTCCAAATCTTCAATGCAAATACCACAGCACCTAGCTCCAGATCATGTGTGGGGTAGTTTACTTCATGCTTCCTCAACTGCCGAGAAGCATAAGCAATTACCTTCCCTGATTGCATCAGTACACATCCCAGTCCCTGAATGCTAGCATCGCTGTAGATGTCATACCCTAACCCTTGCACGGGCAAGGCAAGCACTGGTGCTTCGGTCAAACGTTTCTTTAGCTCAAGAAACCCCTTCTCACACTTGTCATCCCACACAAACTTAGCCCCCTTTTTAGTGAGCTTCGTGAGTGGAGATGCTATCACCGAGAACCTTTCCACGAATTTGCGGTAATACCCCGCTAAACCGAGGAAACTCCTTATCTCCTTCACGTTCTTGGGCCTCTCCCAATTAGTGACCGCCTCAATCTTGGAGTTATCAACTGAAATGCCCGAGCCCGATACCACATGCCCGAGAAAACCGATCTCCCCAAGCCAAAATTCACATTTAGAGAATTTGGCAAAGAGTTGCTTCTCCCGCAGTGTTTCAAGCACAAGCCTTAGATGTTTTTCGTGTTCCTCTTCATTCATGGAGTATATCAAAATGTCATCAATGAACACTATGACGAACTGGTCTAAGTATTGGTGAAATACTCGGTTCATGAGGTCCATGAATGCCGCGGGGGCGTTCGTAAGCCCAAACGACATTACTAGAAACTCATAGTGACCATACCGCGTACGGAATGCACTTTTGGGTATGTCACTCTCCTTGATCTTCAGTTGATGGTAGCCTGACCTCAAGTCAATCTTAGAGAACACCGTTGCCCCCCGTAGTTGATCAAACAAGTCATCGATCCTTGGCAAAGGATATTTGTTCTTTAT